CTTTTTTTCCCCCCTTGAATTGTTTGCCGCCCTGAGTCCTCCCGGAGAAGGGCGGCATACAAATAATAAAATACAAATACAATATCTCACTTCTGGCTTTGCACTGCTGCCTCACTCAGGACGCACCTCCTTTACTCCATAAATATACCCTCCCCTCCAGAAGATCGTCTTCAACCTCCCCCACATCTGTGAAACCAGGCATGCATATATGTGCCAGACAAAGAACTTGCAATCTTAGCTCCGAAGAATATCAGGTACACTTGAAATGGAGAGAATTAAAAACAGTTTAAAAAAAAATCAAAATACTTACGAGGGAATGGTGCACAGATTAAACTACCTTCCCCTTTTCCCCCACTCAATTAGAAGATGGAGCAAGAGGTCCTTTTCGTGTGGTTCCCTCAAGGTCAACCAGAAGCACAAAAAACTTTCTACTGAGAGCGCCATACGATGCCACTCTGTGCTACTTAACACTGTCATTCTGACTCAGCAAGCTATAGCCTAGGACTGCTTACTCATTCCAAGGCCACCGAGGTTTGTAGGTATTTCCTCCACTATTTGCACTGGAATCAATATACTATTGTAAGATTAATTCATATTCCTCCTTCACAATAGTTTGTGGCTTTTGGGGGGGGTGGGGTGGCTAGACGTAGTGGTGACTCTTAGCAACTGTCTGGGAAAGTTCCTGGAGTTTTCATGGCAGGATTTCAGAGGTGGCTTGCCCTTGTGTTCAAGCCAAACTGGAAGCCAAGAGAAACTCTTGACTAAATGAGCAGGATGGGTCGTAATGGATGAGTCTCTGAAGGATAAGACAGCCCTGTAAACTCCTGTCCATTTCTTTTAATCCACAGACGTGGCTTATTCACGAAAGGCATTTTAATCAAAAAGTCTACATCGATCCAGTGAAGTGGAAGAAGAAAAAGGCCCTTGAAATTTAACAGAAGGCGAGGTCATGTTTGCGGTGAGATGGGCCTCAATTATTTATTGTGCCTCTAGCAATAGCAATAGCAGTTAGACTTATATACCGCTTCATAGGGCTTTCAGCCCTCTCTAAGCGGTTTACAGAGTCAGCATATCGCCCCCAACAACAATCCTGGGTCCTCATTTTACCCACCACGGAAGGATGGAAGGCTGTCAACCCTGAGCCGGTGAGATTTGAACAGCCGCACTACAATCAGCTGAAGTAG